GACTGATGCACAAGTGGCAGATGAGCAGTTCCTGGTGCTGGTGAATGATTTCTTAGCATCAGGTATGTCTCTCAGGGCTTTGATTTCTCCCTCCCACTCTTCAGTCTAGTTTTGCTCCTGAAATTCTGGAATATACAGAAGGGCAATAATGAAATAAGCTGGACATGATCTGGGTTAAGGCTTTGAGCAAAAGTTGTGTTGAGGGCTCTCCAGGGAGACACTGGCACAGGTTGCTCAGAGCAGCTGTGGCTGGCCCATACCTGGAATTGTTCCAGGCCAGGCTGGATGGCACTTGGAGCACCCTGGGCTGGTGGAAGTTGTCCCTGCCCAGAGCAGGAGGTGGAAGTGGATGATCTCTACGATCCCTTCCGTGCCAAAAGATTTTATGGGTCTCTGACTCCATGTCCTGCAGCGAGGGCTGCCCAGCCTTGGCTTTGGGCTGTCCCACTCAGCTTTGAAAGGCACCATGTTGTCCTGTGGTTGCTGTGGGGGAAGCAGGGACAGATCAAAGGTCACCTCAGGGTCTATGGGGCAACGTAAAGACTGAGACTACCCGTGATGTGTGAGTGCTGCCCAGTGGGTGCTGACTGGTGGCTCTGCCTGCTCTCTGCTCTGCAGCCTTGGTTTTCTTACTTGCTTCACTTCTTATCACCCTCTAGAAAGCCAGAACAAAATACACATTTCAGTCTTCCTTCTGAATGGCAGATTTCTGATTAGTTTACTTGCCTCAGTGATTGGTGCTGATATTGGCAGGATCTGACTCAGTAACAATGATTTCCATCACACCAGAACCACAAAGGCAGTGAACAGGTGACAAATCAAGGAACCACCGAAGAAATATTTGTGTGGGTGCATTTTCAGCAATCAGTTGCCTAACTAATTTTTAAGTGTTTTTACAAGATTTCTATCTTTACAAATGTTGTGGTGATCTGGGAGTTATTTGGCCACTGCCAGAAATGATCCTGAGCAGCTGCAGAAATTGTACATGTAATTAATGCGTTTGCAAAACTGAACTGACTTTATATCATATATAGCATATTAGGGATTTAATTGGGGGTTTTGTAATCTAATTAGCACTGTAGAGCTTAAAAATGAACTTTCTGTACTTTGACTCTGTTCTGTTGCTTTCCTTTGTGTTTTTATAAGGAGGTTTGCTCTCACAAGTGTTTGTTTCCCAGCAGAACAGCCTCCTGTGCCCTCTGCTGCTGCTGGGACCTGTGGGCACCTCATGCCATGTTTCTACCTGAGGAAGGGACTTCCCTGGGCCCCTGAAGAGGGAGGCAGCTGCTTCCCTTTGCTCTGAGCCTACAGCAACATCCAGAGCAGTAACCCCAAACATGCCCTCTTCTCCTAGGAGAAATCCCAGATCTCTTCCCTGACGATGAAGTGGAAAACATCATCAGCAGTGTGAGGAGTGAGGTCAGAGGCCGAGGGCTGCTGGACTCCAGGGATACCTGCTGGAGGTTTTTCATAGAGCGTGTTCGGCGGCAGCTGAAGGTGAGGTGGGGTTGGGGGGTTGGGTCCTCCCCACGCACTGTGGGGCAGAAGCAGGGGTAGGAAGTGGAGATACTTGGGGCTGCCTCGTGGGGAGGTTGGGCTGCAGCCTGAAAGGCTTTGCTGCCTGCCCATGACATGAGCTGGGATCCTGTGAGCAAGGGGAACTGAGTGTGGGATGTGCTGTCTGTTGTCGTCTCTTCTGGGTCTTTGGGAAGCACAAAGGCTCCAGGACAGAAGTTGCTGTTCCCTTAGGTGGGATAGGATCATAGAATCATCGAGGTTGGAAGGAATCTGCTCTGGTGGGAGCTGTCCCTGCCCAGGGCAGGATGTTGGGGCTGGATCATCTCTAAGCTCCATTCTAACCTCTTAACGTTCTATGAAACTTCGAAATACTTCTAGACATGGTGACTCCACCACTTCCTGGACACCCTATCCCAATGCTATGGGATCCTCCTTTGGAAGTGGCTGGTGGAGCCTGGGATGAGCAGCATGACTATTGCCTGGTGCCTGCTCCTGGCCCTGCCTCCTCCCCTCTCCTCCCTGTGCTCCGCAGGTCGCGCTGTGTTTCTCCCCTGTCGGCCCCAAGCTGCGTCTTCGCAGCAGGAGGTTCCCTGCCCTCACCAGCTGCACCACCATTGACTGGTTCCAGGAGTGGCCTCAGGAGGCCCTCGAGTCCGTCAGCCTCTGCTTCCTGCGGGACGTGGAGATGGTGGAGGTGAGCACCACGTCAGCCGCTGCGGTCTGAGGTGCTGGGGGTGCAGGCACAGCCACCACAGCTCACGTGGGGCTGGCTGCAGCCAGGTGTGACCTCCACGCCTCAGACCAAGGGGACAATACTGCAGAGAGGGTTTGCTCACCTGTGCTGCTTCCAGCACATAGCCACGATACCCGAATGTCTGTCCTGAGGGGTGTTGCTGGTAGCAAACCATCCTTGAAGCACAGTGCAAGTGTTTGGGAGAGGGACGTGGGCCGTGGCAGCAGTGCCCTGAGCACCACACTCCTGTGTGCTTGGGATGGCATTGCCAGGGCAAGGACTGCTCTGCCAGCACAGGGACAGCTCCAAACCTGCACAGAGCAGAGCCTGATGCTGATGATCACTGCAGGGAACACATACTCTGCTTTCCTAACACCCTCTGGAATACACAAAGGCAAAAATATGTCAAGTTCTCATTGATGCCAACCTGCTACTAGACTAAAGGAGATTCACTTCTGTTTATTTGGCTTTTCTGGGCAGGATTTGGGAAGAATAAAGCCTACAATGTTTCTTTTCAGGAGTGTGCACTTCCCCCATTTGTACAGAAGAAAAGCCCAAATCTGTACTTAAAAGGCTGTTATTTTGTAGAGTTGAATGCTGGAAAAACTGCTTGAAATAAGATAATGTGTGAGATAAAAAGATATAAAAAGAGGTATGAAGTACACAGGGAGACAAAGTTATTTTAGAGATAACAGTGCAAAGGGATCAGCTTAGGTGTTCCAGCCTGGATTGTGCTGCAACAGAAGAGTCACCAAGTTCTTTTATATTCAGCACAGATCTGTGTTATATATAGTTTGCTGTTTAAAATAGTTTCTTCTTGTCTTCTCCTGCTACCTCTAGGATTCACTGAAAGAGTCCATAAGCAAATTCATGGCTCATGTCCACGTCAGTGTCAACGAGATGTCCCGAGTGTACCTGAGCACCGAGCGCAGGTACAACTACACCACCCCAAAATCCTTCCTGGAGCAAATCAAGCTCTACCAGAATCTGCTAGTGAAGAAGGACAAGGATTTAAAGGCAAAAATGGAGCGGCTGGAGAACGGCCTGGAGAAGCTCAACAGCACATCTGCACAGGTAACAGCTCTTCAACTTCAAAGATTTCCCTGGTTTCTCTCTTGGAGGTATCTCTGCATCCTGGTTTGAGGGAGAACTTTCAGGCTGAGGCTGTTGAGGGAAAGTATTGTGCTGGATTTTGGATTTAGTGTGGCTTGAGGTGGACTCCTGGTGGACCAGAAGTGCTGCTCCATCCTGGAAAGGAGAATGGAGAGCTGTGTATCCAATCTGCTGTTTGGGTGGGAACTGAAACATCATGGTAAGAAAGATGAGGTTGGGATCCTGCTGGCTGTGTCAGCTTCTGTTAGTGGTTCCATTTCAGCTGAGGTGACAGAATGTCAGTGATAGGACAAGGAGCAATGGGGAGAAATGGAAAGAGGGAAACTGAGATGAGATCTGAGGAAAAAGTTTTCCCTGTGAGGGTGGTGAGACACTGTCCCAGGTTGCCCAGGGAGGCTGTGGCTGCCCCAACCCTGGCCGTGTTGGATGAGCCTTGAGCAACCTGCTCTGGTGGGAGGTGTCCCTGCCCAGGGCAGGGGTTGGGGCTGGATCATCTCTAAGCTCCATTCTAACCCCTGAACAATCAAAGAATCTATGAAATGGCTTACAGAATACAGGGACAATCAGTGATTTTTGGAGTTGCATCCAGGAAATCTGCAATAACTTCAGCAAGACTCTTTCAGACTACATAGAACATGCTTTTCAAATGAGGCTGATGTTCATTTTTCCTTGCATTATGATATTTTTAAGGAAAACTATTGCATGTCTGAAATGTGGATTAGTCATCCCAAATTCCCCAGCTCAAGAGCCACTGGCACTGATCTCTGATAGTGACCAGAAGTCGTTCTGGCTGTTTCTCAGTCTTCTCTGCAGTGACACAAACTGTTTCAGTGCTTTGCTCTCTGTATCTGCTGCCAAACTCCCATTTTTCTCTCCATTTCATGTTCTATTAACTCTTAGAAATGTTTACCTACGAGCTTCTTCAGTGGCCAATGGGCCTCTCCTGATGCTGCTCTGAAGGAGTTGATGTGAATGAAGGGCTAGCAGGTCCAACCCCTTCCATGTGTCTGCTCTGGATGCTGCTGGGAGCATGAATCATGTCTGGACGCTCAGTGGGGGACACACACCCCTGGATGCTGATGTGTTGGTGTGTCTCAGTGCTGATATCTCATCTCACTTCCAGCAGTCACTTTTCTCATGGTGCAGGACAGGTCTGTGAGGACACACGATGGGGAGGAGCATGTGTCATGTCCCCTGTGCAGGGTTTAGCATCTCCTCTGTAAGGAGGCAGCTGAGATTGAGAGCCAGGAGCAGTGACACCCCCAGAGCAACACGAACATGGCCTCACTGCAAAGCTCCTCTCACCCATGGAGGCAGCAATTTTGCTGACCTGTAAGGTGCTCTGGTTTTGATGATGCCCCAGTGGTGAGCAAGATGGATTAAGTTTCTTCTTTGGGAGCAACCGATATGAAACTAACCTTCTGAGAAGGAACGAGTCCCTGTAAGGTCTTTTGTCAAACATGGGGAGCCATCTGTGTTCTTCTGGCTCTGTATTCCCTTCATATGGGTGTTGTGTTGTTCTCAGATGGGTCACACAGTAGGTGCTGAGCAGTGATGTAGGTCTGGGAGGGGGTGGGAAAGGTGGGAAACCACAGCACCTGGAGGTTTGGAAGGTTTTGCTATCACAGGAAGGGTGAAAGGGCACAAAGTTGGCATGTGGCTGGAGTGAGGCTAAGGTGAGAGGTACCTGCTTGTGAGGCTGATTAAGATGCAGAGCAGTGAGGAGAAATATGTCAAATTTGAATCTAAAATTAACACTGGAGGCCTAAAATTAAACACCTAAATTACCAGATGTGCGCAAGAGTCACAACTGCTGATGATTTGAAAACAAAGTGTGGATATTTAGCAGTGTTGGGAATCATACCAGAATGCTCAGTCATGGCAGGACTTGGTCTTGGGGCTGAGGAAGTGCCAAGTCCTCTCTCACTCAGGTGTGTCATCTCCAGGTTTGCTCATGGAAGTGATACACTGCAAGGGTTTATTTTCAGAGCAAAGGAGGATTCTGATCCTTGGGTATGGCCTGGTTGTGCCTTGGGCCTGAGTTAGCAGTGTTGGGAATCATACCAGAATGCTCAGTCATGGCAGGACTTGGTCTTGGGGCTGAGGAAGTGCCAAGTCCTCTCTCACTCAGGTGTGTCATCTCCAGGTTTGCTCATGGAAGTGATACACTGCAAGGGTTTATTTTCAGAGCAAAGGAGGATTCTGATCCTTGGGTATGGCCTGGTTGTGCCTTGGGCCTGAGGCCTGGAGCAGCAGCA